AGGCCGGCAGGGACCAGGTCATTCAGAGCTTCGCTGTCTCCTTCACTGTTCCCTTAACCACGTGTGCAAGTTGTGCACTTGAGATGCAGGGAGTCCGAATTGAGATGTGCTGTACTCGCAAAATATATACCATATTGTACAGACCTAGCATGAAAAATAATGTAAAATATTCATGTTTTGTATTTATTATATGTTGAAATAGCAATATTTTTGATATTAGATTAAAATATTTTATTGAAGTTAATTTCATCTGATTTGCGGGGGCTTGTTTTTGCTTTTTGAATGTGCTGCATACCTGTGTATATTTCTATTGGGCAGCCCTGATCTGGAGCCAGACAAGCCTTGTGAGAAGTTTGAATTTTATTCCAAGTGCCGTGGGAACCCAGCAGAGGATTCTTAAAGGGAGAAGTGAGACAATTAGATCTGTGTTTAAAAGGATCACTCTGCTGTTGGGTTTCTGAAAAGCAGACTCTGAGATGGAGATTGTTGTGCAGAAAGTGTATTATGAGGTGATCTTGGGATTCACATTTGCAAGACCAGGCAGAGGGAGAAGTTGGGCTGTGATGCCTTGCAAGGAGGGACTCAGCCGACACCATGGGAGCTCTGAACCAGGCATGGGTCTTCGGAGTTGTCCCACACTGGGGCAAGAACAGTGAGCTTTTATGCCTCTGCAGTGACCAGTCTCTATACAGGCTGTCTTGGAAAGAGGAGTTGATCTTCGAAAAGGAAGCTTGGGAAATAAGCCCTTCATGCTTGAAGGAAGATCTGCTTGATGAATCCAGTGTCCGTGACTGGTGTCAGTCTATGGATTAGGGGAGGGGGGAGTAGAGTAGAAGCAGAGACAAGTGAGAAAGATCTGGCAAGGAAGGACTCTCCAGGTGAGGGCACCCTAGTGGCCAAAGGTGCAGAGGTGGGATTAGACAAGAAATCATCACAGAATAGGAAGAGCTGGACTTCATTTTAGGGAAATGAGTGCAAATGAAAGTTTGGGGGGGGGGGTTGCTATTAGTTGGAGACCAGATGCCCCAACCTGGTTCACACAGGGCTGGCTCTTTAAGATCCAAAAGAGAAACCAAACAGATAAAAGTATTCTTGGCAACCAGGTGTTTCTCAGCCAGTCCCCAGCTTTCTGACAAGCTGTGACACAATATTGATCGAGTGATTAAATTTCATGCTGAACTGATTCAGGTCCTAAATCATGTTCCTGTTAGAGAGCTACTGTCTGAGAGGCTGACTGCACATGCCCTGTATTTCATTAGAGGCTCCAGAGGCAGAAAAAGATCCATGGGAGTGAAAAGAGGTTGTGGTCTGAGAATTTTACATCCTACAGGACGGGCCCTTGGGTAGCAAAAAGGGGCATTGGATGGAGGCTTCAAAAACTGAACTTCCAGGCATGAGTAGCAGCAACTCACTGGGTGACTTTGGGCAAGGCATTTTCTTGTCTGGGTCTTAGTCTCCCCAAATGCAAGACAATTTGGGTGGGGTGGACTCAGTGGTCCCTAATGGCCCTTGAGTATTCATAGCACCTTCTCTTTATGGAGAGTTTATGACATGCCAAGCACTTTGCACAGATTATCTCATTTAATCCCCACAAGAAACCTATGAGGTGAGCATCATTATGCCCAGTTTACAAATGAGGAAACTGAGGATCAGAGAGATTAAGTAATTTATTCTAGGTGACATAACTATGGAGAGTCGGGTGCATTTGAAGGCCAGCAACGGAGCCTACAGTCTCAATCACTCTGTTTTAGATTTCTTACATTTTTAGCCTTACAGCTTGGGGGAAGATTATTTATCCATGCCTATACAGTTAGGTCTGTGACCTCAGAATGATAGTTTGACTCCCCGCCTGCTTTTCTAACCTCCAGCTGTCTCAATCTTGGGTTGGAATTGAGTATGGAGCCCTGCAGGATTAACTTGGTATGATCTCGAGAGGACCAGAGTTTGGGGCAAGCTTGGGGGGAGAGGACTTGATCCTGACATGATTGCAACAGCTTTATTGACAAATCTTATCCTGGCAAAAAGCCAGATCTCATCCTGCCTCCAGGTCCTCTTAGCCTTTACTCCTTGGATTCCCTGCAGCCAAAGTCTGCACAGACAGCTCAGACGCTGCAGCCAGGGCAAATTCACAGTGAGGTACACGGGCAGCCAGAGGGGCCTCCCTGAACAGCTTCTCACTTGCTGTGGGAAATAAAACAGACATAAGGCACTGCATGATTGCCCGTGAACCTAGCTGGGGTTCCAGTGTTGGTTGGGTGCAGAAAGGAGGGCATGCATGCTCTCTGCGAGTGGCGAAAAATCAACACCATTCTGGAGAAATATCTGGACATTTTTATTGAATCCCTTAAAAAGATGCATGTCCTTGTTGAGGATACTCTCATGGAAATAAGACTAGAAGGTTAACCTCTGAATAGTGGTTGTTTCTGTGTGGTGGGTTTTTAATGATATATATTCATATATATGTTTAATTAATATGCTTTATATATCTATTTGTGTTTAATTAATAGACAATTTTGAACAGTTTTAGATTTGCAGAAAAATGGAGTGGAAAATGCAGAGCTCCATATCCAACTATCACACACACATACAGTTTTTCCCTTGTATTAATGTGGTGCATTTATTATGATTGATGAATTAATATTGGTAAATAGTTCGCATTTGGATTCACTCTTTGTGTGGTACGCTCCATGAGTTTTGACAAATGTATCATGATATGTATCCACCAGTATAGTATCATACAGAGTAGTTTTACTGCCCTGAAAATCCTCTGGGCTTGGCCCATTGATCCCTCCCTTCCCCTGCAGCCCCTGGCAACCACTGATTTTTTTACTGCCTCTATAGTTTTGGCTTTTCCAGAATGTTATATAGCTGGAACCATGTCACCTTTTCATATTGGCTTTTTCTCTTAGCAATTTGGATTTACGTTACCTTCATATCTTGTCATTTATAATGAAATAATAACTCATTCCTTTTTGGTGCTGAATAGTATTCCATTGTCTGGATATATCATAGCTTATTTATCCATTCATCTATTAAAGGACATCTTTTTTTTTTTCTTTTTTTTTTGAGACAGAGTCTCACTCTGTTGCCCGGGCTAGAGTGCCATGGCATCAGCCTAGCTCACAGCAACCTCAAACTCCTGGGCTCAAGTGATCCTCCTGCCTCAGCCTCCCAAGTAGCTGTAACTACAGGCATGTGCCATCATGCCCGGCTAATATATATATATATATATTAGCTAATATATATATATTAGCTAATATATATATATATATATATATATTTTAGTTGTCCAGCTAATTTCTTTCTATATTTTTAGTAGAGATGGGGTCTCACTCCTGCTCAGCCTGGTCTCGAACTCCTGAGCTCAAACGATCCGCCCGCCTCAGCCTCCCAGAGTGCTAAGATTACAGGCATGAGCCACTGTGCCCGGCCTCTTTTTTATTTTTTAACCGAACTGTAACCCAATATTAAAGGACATGTGGATTGCTTCTAAGTTTTGGCAATGATACACTGTCTCTCACTAAGTCTTCCTCTAAAGTTAAAGTAGATGGCTGTTTCTTGGGTTTGTGTTTAGGGATCATGTTGAGTTATATCTATTTCTCCTTCTCATCTATCTATCTAAATAGTTCTATAGCTGTATCTTTAAGCTCTGGAGCCACCCTCAGCGTGGCAAAAATGCCCTGTCTTTAAGAGGCAGGTGGCAAGTGATGCCAAGTTGGAGTTGAACAGACCCTATGTGTCCTGTCTCATGATTCTGGGGCACAGACTTAGTGGAAGGAGGTTTCCCCATTACCAGCATACTTGTGTTGATATTACTCTATTTTTTGTCTTAATTTTTAAAGTTCCTCCTGATTATATTCCAGTGATTTTAAGATGCACAGTTTTTCTAATTTTAACATCCCTGAAATTGAGATGTAGTTTAGTTTGCCGTCAGCCAGCCAGCGGGCAAGATATTTATTCCCTGTGTGCAAGCAAACTTGGTCATAGCTGCTCATGGTGTCATCCCCTCACTGAGTTATATGCACATTGCCAGTACTTCGCATGTTGATTTTAATTGCCACTCAAAATGTCTTCAAAAAGATTACGCTATGATATGATTTGGCATTGAAATGGAAAATCTCTGTGTGTACAGAAAGGCCCCCAAACAGAGCAGTGGTGTGGAAATTTGATATTAGTGAAGCAAATTCTAGTCTTTGGGGAAATGGCTCTAGTTTCATATTTTCCTGCAAAGCAAAAATCGAATCTTTGCTGAACCCCTAAAAATGGAGAATCCACAAGTAGATGAAGCGATGTTGCATTTTGTCACTGAGACACATGTAAAAAGATTTCTTGTTAAACACCAAGCCAGGCAACAAGAGGCAAGAGAAATGACCAAATCCCTTGGAATAAATGAAAGGAATTTCAGACAAGGAATGGTGTGACCAGTCAAGGTGTTTCACAGGACTATTAGCATAATTGGAGCTTTTATTTTTTTCTTTCTTAATTTCATTTAAAATAATGCTGCATCATAAAGTCAATGATGTTTTACATTTAATGAAAGACAGTTGAATTCAAGTTAGTTAAATACATGCAATGCAACTCTAATTTAATGATCAAATAACTCTCATAGTATAATGCGGATGTGTTATTATATTTTTAAAAACAGCTGACTTTTCCCTCTGTCTTTTCCCAACAAGGTAAAAAGAAAGGTAGAAAAGAAAGTTCTCCATTTTGATAGTGAAATATATCCGTATGTATTTTATGGACATGCAATAATAACAGTACCAGGAAAACTATGTTTGTCAATTTATTTTTGGAAATACTACTTATAGGAATTTATCCTAACAAAGAAAGCGCATGAATGAGTACAAATATTTAGCTACCAGACTGCTCATCTCAGCTTGGTTTATAAGCATGAAAAAGTAGAAACAATCTAAAGCTACATCAATGGGAGTGTGCTTAAATAAATTATAAGACATCCATTTAACAGAATCGTATAGTAGGCAGACTTAAAAATTAGCTCAATCTATATTTATTGGCATGGAAAGATACTCTTGATATGTAGTAAAAAAGAGAATAATAAAGAATTTGATGTCATTTTTGTAAAATTATATTAATAATAACAATAATAATGTCTATATGTTTGTGTACATGAAAGTTGATGGGAAAGAAACAAACAAAAATGCAATAGTAGTTATCTCCCTCTCTGAATGGGGGAAATATGATTTTTGTTTTCTTCTGAATTTTCTGATTTTCCTGCAATAAAAATCTTTTCTGTAGTTAAAAAGTAATAAGATTAAGGGAAGAAAAAAAAAGGAATTGATATAAATCCTGTTGGAGAAATGAGGAAAAAGATGGCAACTTAGGCTTCCTCTGTGGGTATTTCTTTAGATGTCCACAGGCTCCGACTCCAGTAATGACTTTGTCTGCTGAGAAAAAAAAAAAATAATCCTAATCATACCACTAATAAAAGCATTGCAGTGGCAAAGATTTTTAGTCCAGTAAACCGAGGCAGCGGTAGTAGAAGCTTCTGGTGTCTGTTTGCATTTGTGTAGGAAGTCAGGGAGGGCTTGGGCAAATTTGTAAATATTTGCTGCTTGGATGAATACTTTTTTCTTTTGCTTTTACTCTCTCCCCTTTAGGAGTAAGGAAGCTTTTGTGTTTGCCACCAGCTGTTTCTTTCTCAGTGGGGTGTGGATAGCAGGTTGCAGAGCAGGGAGGTGAGGGTCACTGGAAAGGCACCGTACCTTGATCTTGGACTTCCAGCTCCAAAACTGCCAGAAAATGCATTTCTGTTGTTTAAGCCACACGGTTTGTGGTATTTTGTTCCAGCAGCCCGAGCTGACTAATACAGGCTCTGTGGTGAGGGGCTCTGAGTTTCCCACCTGCTATACAACAACATAAGCCTCCTTTATGCGTCTGACCTGAGGAAGGGAGTCTGGTGAACCTGAGTTCACTTGATCTTAGCCAAAAAGCTGAGAAGCAATTGGACCTGGGTTCGAGTCTACTGCTTGGCTGTGTGACCTCAGAAAGCCCCTTCACGTCTCTGAACTTCAATTTTCTTATCTTTCCAATAGAGGTAACAGCTGCCTGTTTGCTGCCTGGGGATGCAGTGAGAATTACATGAGGTAATGCACCTGCACCCAATCTGACCGCATCATTCTCCTGCTTAAAAATCTCTTTGGATGCAGCCGCATTAGGTAGATGGAATAATAATGCCTGCAAAGTACCCAGAACACAGTAGGGGCTCACAATAGGTCAGTTCCCTCATTTCTAAGGATTCTTCATTCATTCATTTATTAGATACTCAACAAAGAATTGTCTTTCAGTGCCTCGGTTTTCTCATCTGTCCAAGGAAAGTGCTAAAAGTAGATATTTGATTGAAACATATGAGACTGTGTCTTATTCTTCACTCTACCCCCAGCACCTTGCAAAGTGCCTGGTATACAGCTAGTACTCTTTAAATGTTGGTTGTAGAATGAATGAATGAAGATGAGTGAGCAACATACATTGAGTGCCTGGCATGCAACAACCCCAGGCTCTTGGGCCTATTGAAATAATTTAATCTAGCAATTTTCAAACTTACTGGTCTCTGGGCACTCTTAAAAATTACTGAAGACCCCAGAGAGTGTGCGCGTATGGCTATAGCATTATTTACTATATTAAAAACGAAAATGGACACATTCTAAAAATATTTATTTATAAATCCATTTCAAAACAATAGGCCACCCATGAAATGTTGACAAAAATAACACTTTAATGAAACGTAACTATATTTTCCAAAAGAAAAAAAACATAAGTGAGAAGAGGGGCATTACTTTACATTTTTGCAAATGGCTTGAATGACCAACCGACGATGGCTGGTTTCTCCTGGCTGCTTCTAACTTCATTCTACTGTGACATCACAGGTCATGTACACTCTGGAAAATTCTTCTGTACACTCACAAGAGCATGAGAGTGAAAAAGGCAATGAACATCTTAGTAGTATTAGGAAAAATAGTTTTGATCTCATGCAGCCCCTGAAAGTATAGTGGGGAACCCACTGGGATCTCTGAACCTTTCTTTGAGAATCATAGATTTCGTCTGCATCTACCATTTGGCAGATGAGGAAACTAAGGGCTAGAGACATGAAGGGACCTGCCCCAAACTAGAAGCAAATTTCTCAGATAACAATAATAATGATAATAAGCTATCATGCATTAAACTCTTTACAATGTACCAGGTACTGTGTTTAGCACTTTCTGTGATTATCTCATAGACTCCTTGATCCAGTCTTCTAGAGTTGGCATTATTTTGACCTTTGTTTACAAAAGAAGCTAAAGCTCAGAGGGGTTATAGCTGTCGTCCAAGATCACACAGCTGGTCACTGGCAGAAACGGGCTTCAAACCCATAGTGATGTGTTTGGGTTTTGGTGCTTAATCTGTTATTCACACTCCTGGAGCATAATACATACCTGTATGTTGAAAAGAAGGAAGAGAATAATCTCCTTTTTAAAATATGGATGGCCATCAGCATCCAGAATAAGTGGGGGGTGTGCCAGAGGGTTGGGGACAGAGCTGGAGGGTTAGGGCCCTGGCCAGAGGTGGAGGTGATAGAAGTTGGAGGTGGATCTTGGTGTACATCCCCCAGACTTTGTAGGGGGTGCTCTGAATGTCTACCCCAGCAACCTCTCAGCGAATCTGGCCAATCTACCAAAAATCAGTTCCATGATAAGCAGTCCTCTAAAAAAAAAAAAAAATCAAGATGCTCATTGCCAATGGATCAAATTGGTCAAATTTGCTGGCTTTCCAAACCCTAATTTTAAGGAAAATTCTTACCAGATATAGTTACTGAATATGAATATATTCATCTTGAATATAGTTGATGACTACATTTTTCTAATATGCTATTTTAATATGTTCAATGATAATACTCAATGAATTTATGAATCTTGAATACTCTTAGCCAAAAATTTATCCAAATTATTTAAATTATATTCAAGACTCTGTTTAAGATATTCAAGAATATATTCTCTGTGAGAAGACAGTCTTAAGAAAGCTAAACAGCCCTCACGATATTTAGCTGTAGACAAATTGAGCTTAAATTGCTGCAGTGAAGGATATATTCACTGAATATGTTCAAGACTAACTTATTAAGAAGATCACATTAGCATTCATTGAATTTATTCAAGAAGACTAGTCTTCAAGAGCATATTTTTTGGCACATTCAGAGAATTGGCGTATTGGTGGTCTGGCTTTTAGCCAGGTATTGGTCTGAAGCCTCTTGCATCAGTCTGGGGCCAGGCACCCAGCAATTAGCGTGGAAGTCGCGGCATTTTCAATCCTCTTAGAAGACTAGGAGTCGCATTTGGAGCCTCGGAGGATAAGAAAACATTGTTGTGTCCCTGAACACTTTTTGACCTTTTGGTCACATTCAGGAGAGGGGAAAAAGCAGAATAGAAAAGGTAGAGGAGGGTTCATGTTGCTGCAACACACTGCCACGTCATGAGGACATCATGAGCATGTCTCCCTTAGTCAACCTGAGGAGCTGGTCCTGGGCCCAGACAGGTGAAGTGACTTGCTTAAGATCATCTAGTTTGTCAAGGGCAGAGAGGGATTTGAACTCAGGCAGAGTGGGGATTTGAACTCAGGCAGACAGGGATTTGAACTCAGGCAGAGTGGAGATTTGAATTCAGACAGAGAGGGGATTTAAACTCAGGCAAAGCGGAGATTTGAACTCAGGTAGAGTGGGGATTTGAACTCAGGCAGAGCGGAGATTTGAACTCAAGCAGAGTGGAGATTTGAACTCAGGAAGAGTGGGGATTTGAACTCAGGCAATCAGAGCTCACAGTCTTGGCTTTGGACTCTACTTTCTCCCACAAAGATAAGCTTCTATGAGCTTCTCTGAATCAATAGAAAAAGAAATGAAAGGTGAGGTGGGGTCCCGTTCTTGGGGCCTGAATGGATAGGGACTTGGAATGAAGAAGGGAACTGGCAGGGGATTCGATGGGATTTCCATTTGGATATTAGAGGAACCAGGCAAAGCAGGAAAAGCCACTGTGAGTCAAAAGGACAGGCCCCTTTCCTTCCTCTGTGCCATACAGAAACAAAAATAATAGACAGCCTGATGACCTACCTGCCCATTTACTTGTTCTATGGTCATCTAATTGCTTAGAGCTCAGATCCAACTATATTATCCTCTCTGAAACAAAAAAAGTAAGCACAGGGATTCACAGAGGAACAATTCTGATGTAGATGCTTGCAGTGTTTCCCAGCAACAACTTTATAGAAATGTCCCTAAGTATTCACTTCATGCTTTCTATTGAGGAATAAACCTCTTTTATTCTGTTCTTTATTATTCTTTAAGACACACACCGCATGTACATTGCTGGTAAATTAGAAAATAACACATAAGCTAAAATAATAAAATAAAAATCACCAATAAATTTGCCCTCTCCTACTCCCCCAAAAATTAATGTTATTATTAGGTATATTTCTTTCCAGGGCTTTTGTTTTTATGTAATTTATTGTACATGCTATTTTATAATCTGATCCTTTAAATTTATTATGATCATATTAATAAAGACAATTTCATTTCACAGCATGATTTTTATAACTGCAGATTTCTGATTATTGGTTATTTTATTTTCTGTTTCTAAAGAGGTGAGAGGTGGGGAAGTGATTTGTGGTTCCCTAGGGCGTTGGCTGTGGGGTTATGTGTCTTTTGACAGGACATAGGAGGGCTTGGAATAAGTTGGACACTCTGATGGAAAACATTTTGGGAGACATTCGACAAGGGGGTTCTGACCTAGGTCTGCTTGCTCACCACACAGAAAGCCACTTACCGACACAAAGAGGATCGCCAAGGAATAAAGGAATTTTTAATGCGGATGAGGTCTACTAGAAGAACTTGGATAGGGGCTTTTATAAGGGGTTAAGGAATATAATCAACTAAAAAGTCCAAAGAAGTCTCACCTGAGACTCAGGGCAAATTCCTGCTACCTACAAGCCTGTATAATCAAAAAAAGGGCACAAGCATTGGGCAAACATTCCCATTCCAAAAGGGAGAAAGCAGCCAAAAGGAAGGGACTCCACATCCCATATCTTGGGCATGCTGGTTCAAGGGGTGTGCTCAAAACCTGGGAAGCTCCACCCCCAAGGCTTTGCTAGGCACAGCCCACATGGCTGTTCTCACAAATTGGAGTCTTGGCTCCATGGCTTTTCCAGGCTGAGAGTACAGGCTGCCTGTGACTCCACCACCCGGGGTCTGGAGGGCAACAGCCCCCTTCCCACAGCTCCAGAAGGCAGTGCCCTGGTGGGGACTCTGGGTGAGGGCTCCAAGCCCACATTTTCTCTGGGTACTGCTCTCATAGAGTCCCTCTACAGTCACTCCACCCCTGAGGCAGGCTTCTGCCTGGGCACCCAGGCTTTTGCACTTGCAGACTTGTGGATGCCACCAAGGCTTAGGTTTGTGTCCTACTGAGCAGCGTCCAGAGCTATACCTGGGGCCCTTTGAGCCACGGCTGGAGCTGAAGCAGCAGGGATGCAGGAGCAGCCTCCCAAGGTGGTACAAGGTAGTGGCTCCCAGGGCTTGGCCCCCAAACCATTCAGTCCTCCTGGGCCTCTGGATCTGCAATGAGAGGGGCAGAGTCATGCTAATCTCTCTAGCAAGGGGTTACTCTGCAGCCCACTTGGGTTCCTCCCCCGATAATGCTCTTTCCTTCTCTACCACATGGCCAGGCTGTGAATTTTCCAAATTTTTACACTCTTCTTCCCTTTTTATTATAAGTTCTAACTTTAGGTCATTCTTTTGTGTGCATATCTGGTCATAGGCTATTAGAAGCAGCCATGCCGCTTCTTGAATGCTTTGCTGTTTAGAAATTTTATTTTATTATTTTTTCTAAACATCAGAATATAAGGGGGGTACAGATGTTTAGGTTGTTTTGAGAATTGAATGAATAAGAAAGCCAAACACCTTGATAGCATCTTCCCCCTCTCCTCCACCCCACTGATCTAACACAGACATCTCCATAGACATGGGGGGAGAGAGGGTCTTTAGCCCCTCCCAAAGATGGCACCTTTTACTAGCGTTAGTTCTACCAAGACAATCACTTTTGGGCAGGGCACAGCAGAACTTGGCAGGGCAGTGTGACCAGGTTCCTCTGAATGGCAGGATCTTTGTTCTGAGGTCTCTGGGTTTCAGCATTCTTTACCTCCCCAGAGGGCTAGGCTTTTCCGGTTTGTTCTCTTTTGCCTCCTACTTGATCTCCTTTCAGGATCCTTCGTTGTCCTCTTTCTGGAGTCCAACCATGGAGGAAGGGGGTGCGCTTAGAGTGGTGGCTGCTACCGCCACCACTTTTGATGGTGAGAAGTTGGGGACATTCTTGGGAAGGGACCTGTGGACCTGGGCCTGGACCACCTGTCTTAGACCTTATTTAACGTTTGGGAATAATTGTGAAAAATAAACAACTTCAAAAAAGTCATTTTCCTGTGCAACAGAGACTCTTCAACAATAATTTATTTTTAGCCAGTTAGTGAGATAATGTGTATTTTTAATTTTTTTATTTCTATAATGTATATTTTTAAAAACCGCAATGCCTAGAACATAGTGAGCACATGCTACTTATTATGATTATGATAATTTTAGACAGAATAGAAAGCTTCGGGCCCCTGCATCAGGGCAATCCTGGGAAGTTTAAGATGATCGCAGTGCTTGGAATGAGACCCTGTCCCTGTTCCTGCCACCTCTTCCCTGGAAGGAGCCCCGGGCGGAGTTCACACTGGGGAGTGTTTTCATACCCACTCACAGCCCTGAATACATCTGGCATGTCGCCAGGCAGATAAATGCACTCTTCTCCATCCCCCGAAATGGGCACGTCCAGCACGGAGCTTCGATGATTTATTTACCAGTGACAGCTCTGCTCTGGGGCGGAAGTGCCCTGGTTTGCTGAGTGGTTCGTTCATTTATCTTTGTTGACAGCACAGGCCCGTGGGATCCCCACCCCAGCTCCCACCGACGCCTCTTCGTCCCTGTGGCTGCTCACTCCCAGGGCACCGGCAGGAGGGCTGGTGCGGTGTTTGGTGTTTACCTTCCCAGCGTTTCCACGGGGAGGTCCCTGCAGATGGATGGCAGGCGGTGGAGGCAGGGACATGGGGGAGGGGGGAGACATAGGTAGCATTAGAGAAGCCACTTCCCTATGATCATCCCCTTTGGAGATGCCATGGGAGTCAGACTGCTCTGGGCTCAAACGTGCCTCTGCCATTTATCAGTGCGTGGCCTGAAGCCCATGGCTTCACCTCTCGGGCCTGTTATGAGGGAATAATCATACCTGCTCCCTGCTCTCTTGTTAAGGGAACATATGGAAAGCACCGGGCACATGGTAAAGGGAGCCTGACATATGTAGGAAGCTCTTAACAAAAGACAGCTATTACTCATATCTCCGTCCTTATTATTACTCCCCTGGGCTCAGAGCTGGTGCCTAGAGAAGAAGTTTTCTCTTAGGTTTATAAAATAACCACAGCTGGAAGCAGCTTACAGAAAAAGCCAGACAGCTGGGTTGAAGCTCTGACTCCCTAACAGTTATGTACTGTGTGATCTTGTGACAAGTTACTTTACCTGTTTGAGCCTCAGTTCTTTCATTTGCAAAATGGGAATAATAAAATGAGACACCGTGGAAAATATCTGGCTTCGGGGGCATTCGGTGAAAATCGGTTTTCTTCCACCCTCTCTTCCTTGCATAGTTAATGCCTTATGATTTATGAAGGATGGTGACAGTCATTATCTAACCGCATGACACCCTCTGCTCTAGGGGCAGATCATAATCCTTAATTCACAGATAGGGAAACAGAGTCCCAGGGAGTGTAGCAGCTCATCTCAACTCAGATCCACTCATCCAACACATATTTACTACTAACTGCCTTTTCCGTATTAGCTACTGTTTTAGGTGCTTCAGATACATTGATGAATTAAACAGGCAAAAAAAAAATCCCTGCCCGTGTAGAGCTTACATTCTAGAGGTGCAGGGAGATAATAAACAATAAAATAAAGAGTAGACACATTATATAATATGTTAGAAAGTGGCAAGTGCTGTGGGAAAGAGACAGATGTGACCAAGGGGCTCAGGAATGATGGATGACGTACAGTGCCCATGGTTTTAACCTGAGCCTCAGGGAGAAGATGATATTTGAGCAAACACTCAAAGGAGCTGAGGGCCGTGCAGATGTCTGGGGATAGTGCATCTGAGGCAGTAGAAACGGGGTGTGCAAAGGCCCTGAGGTGGCAATGTGCCCAGGGCAATCACAGCACAGCAGGAGTGGAATGGAGGGGGTGGTGGTGAGGTTGAAGGGGCACAAAGGTACAAGTGTGTGCGCATGTGTGTGCGCCCGTGTGTGTGTGTGTGTGTGTGTGTGTGTGTGTGTGTGTGTGTGTGTGTGTAGGGAGAACCCTGTAGGGGTTTGTAGCCATTATAAGGACTATGGCTTTTGCTCTGAATGAATTGAGGAGCCTTAAGATTTTTTAAAAATTTATTTGGAGACAAGGTCTTGCTCTGTCACCCAGGCTGGAGTGCAGTGGTACAATCATAGCTCACAGCAGCCTCAAACTCCCGGGCTCAAGTGGTCCTCCTGCCTCAGCCTCCTGAGCAGCTGTGACTACAGGTGTGTACCACAATACTCAGCTAATTTTTAAATTTTTTTATAAACATGACATCTCACTCTGTTGTCCAGGCTAGTCTCAAACTCCTGGCCTTGCCCATGATCCTTCTTCCTTGGCCTCCCAAAGTGCTGGGACGACAGGCATGAGCCATGTGCCCAGGCCTTAAGAGGATTTGAGGAAAGACACACCTTGATCTGAGTAATATTTTACCAGGGTCACCCTGACTGTTGCATTTGATAAACAAAATGTGGCATATCCGTGAAATGTGGAACATTATTCAGGCATAGAAAGGAATAAAGCTCCACTAAAACCTGGAGGAAACTTGAAACCATTAAGCTAAGCGAAAGAAGCCAGACACAAAAGGACAAATATTGCACAATTCCACATATATGAAGTATAGAGAGTAGGAACATTTGGAGACAGAGATATATTAGATGTTCCCAGGGGCTGGGTGGAAGGAGGAATGGGGAATTGTTGCTTAATGTTTACAGAGCTTTTGTTTGGGGCGATGAAAATTTTTGTGCCTACGTTTGCACAACATTGTGAGTTTAATGCCACTGAGTTATACACTTGTAAAAATGGTTAAAATGGCAAATTATGTTATATATTTTATCATAGTTAAACATTTTTAAAAATTGACTGTAAGGACAGGGTGGAAACAGCCTATGCTGCCATGTAGGCTGGGATCAAGGTGGAGGCAGGGGAGGTGATGAGAAGTGATAAGAGACTGGATACACTTGGCGGTTAAAGATTTCCTGATGAATTGTATGTAGAGTTAGTAATTCTCAGGGCTGGACAGGGAAGCTGGGTCTCTGGAACCGTCCCCAGCACCCCAGGACACTCAGCCAGTGTTTTGGGATCACTGCAGTCACCAGCCTCTCTGTGCTTCCAGCTCCTGGTGGCCCTGCCAGGACTGCGTGTTGGGTTCCTCTGGCCCATTGGGGGTACATGGTGCTAACTCCTCAGAGGGGAGGCTCTGGGGACGTCAGCCACCATCCTGGGCTTGCACCACCAATCCTGCCTGGGCAGCTTAGCTCCAAGTTGGCAGCTTCACCTCTGTTTATTGCATCATTCTAGTTTCCTGGGAGATGAGTTCCCAGGTCACAAGACCAGATTAGGAACTGAGTGGTGCAAGGTGGAGCAGATGAGCTCATGAACAACACTGTTGCTGTTTGCGCTGTGGACCTTAGTAACCGGCCAGCGAGAGACAGGCTCAAATCTTGTTCCTCCTGCATTCAGGCACCATGGACAGAGGAGGTCCTGCGGGACCCAGTGTGGACTTTGGACTCAGACAATTCTAGGTTCAAACCCCCGCTCTACTTTCTACTTCCCGTGTGACCTTGGGCAGATGGCTTTCCCTCTCTGATCCCCCATTTCCTCCAATTGAGATAATCCCACTGACCTCCTAGCTTTATTATAAAGGTTAAGTGACAAGTGGATGAATGGACGCTGTAAGGGACAATTGCCAGACAACAGGAGGACTCATGACAGAGGACGATATCAATAGATACAGATCAGAGAGCATGGACAGCACCTGGTGATGGGCTGACAAGGAGGGAGAGAAGCAGAGTTCTGGGGTTTCCGTGTGGAAGGTGTTGATGTCAAGTACCAACCTGGGGGAAGGAGTGGAGGGGTGATGTTTGCAGAGAGACACTGGATTCTATTTTGGACACATGGAGTTTGAGAAGCCTGTGGGTGGAGATGTCTAGGAAGTATTTAAAGCTCCTGAGAGCTGATCTGGTTGGAAACAGGGATTTGGGTGTGTTAGCTTAGGGTTGGTTGTGGAATGTGTGTGATGCTCCAGGGAGAAGCACAGGGGCCTTGGGAGAGGACCCAGCAGCACTGCATTTGTCGGTTGGGTCCAGGAGAATAAGGGGGAAGGGAAGAGAAGAGGGAGGACTTGGCCAAAGTCCCAGAGGGAGTTAGTGGTTGAGCTGGATTAGGACTCAGGCGTCATCTTGTAGGTAGCATGGGAGCTGGTGCCCAGCCCAACATCTCTCTCTCTCTATGCTAGTGGACTATAGCAGCTGGTATTCTTTATTTTTAAGCTGCAGAAACAGGCATTACCTAATTTAAGTGGAAAGGGATGAGGGATAGCTCATATAATTGAAAGAGAAGCTGAGCACTGGATCTCAGGAAGGACAGGGCGGGGCCACTCTGGGGGTCTGGAGCAAGAGCAGTGGGCACCTTGGGCACCACCTCCAGGATGCACCCGCTTCAGCTATTTCCCATGCTCAAGCCTCTCTGCCTAAGGCTCAGGCTCCCATGAGAGAGGCCCTGCTTGGCTTAGCTCGGGCTGCACTCCCACTCCTGGTGAAGGAAGGATGAGGCCCCTTGATGGGAGTTCCCAGTGAAACTGCACAGAGTGGAGAAAAGAGAGTCCCAGAGAGACGCTGAGGGTCTGTGGCCAGAGGAAAGGAATGCAGATGCTACCAGGCGGAAGCCACAGGTGTCCACTCCCCTGGGCCTGTGCAAGGCTCTTTGGAGCTTCCGAAACCGGGTTAGAGGCCATTCCCTGGAGGAGGTAAGCCTTGAGCATAGAGGAATGTGATTGGCCAACCTGATTAATTCATCACTACCCACTTATACCTGGCGGGATCCCCAAGGAACACAATAGAAGGTGGAAGAGGGTAGCTTTAATGAGAGGGAAAAGAGAGAAAAAAAAAAGACCTTCACCATTTAGACTAATTAGGGATGAGGGGGGAGGGGGAAAGGAAGGTCTATGCTGCCAAAGTGCTTTTTATTTGCCAGGGATTGCTTTACGTATTTTACATATCTTAACTCATTTATTCCTGCCCACAACTCTACAAGGCACTCTTTCGTCACCCCGATGTTATTGCCAAGGAGGCTGAGGCACAAAGTAGTGAAGAAATTTGCCCAGGGTCACCCAGCTAATAAATGACAGGACAGGACTCAAACCAGGGCTGTCCTGCTCTGGCATGCGTACGTGTAAACTTCTATGGCTACGCCAACGCCAGCGTGTTCTAAGAGGGGAAATAAAACTTGCATCTTGTAATATATTAAACCAAGGATTTTCCTTACGAGAATCTCTTAGACTGCAAAGCGAGGTTTACTTTTCTTGGTTTAAATGCAATGCATTCTCTATGAAGAACATTTGAAAACCACAGAAAAGCACTGTCTTAGTCGAGGCTGCTACAACAAAGTAATGTGGACTGGTGGCTTATAAATAATAGAAATTTATTTCTCACAGTCCTGGAGGCTGGAAGTCAGAGCTCAGGGTGCCAGCGCGGGTGGGTGCTGGTGAGGGCCCCCCTCTGGGTTGCAGCCTGCTGACTTCTCATTGTATCTTCGCATGGTAGAAATATGGGGTGAGAGAGCTCTGTGGGGTCCCTTTCTTAAGGGCACTGATCCACTCATAAGGGCTCCATTCTCATGACCCACTTGCCTCCCAAAGACCCTACCTCCTGATGCCATCCCGTTAGGAGTTAGGACTTCAACACATGAATTTTGAGGGGACACAAACATTCAGTCCTTAACAAGCACAAAGGAAAAAACATAAATACCCACCTTCTTGAAAGAGATAGTGGTATTTTAAAGCAAATAAAATATAAATGCAAATTTGTATCCATTTCTTTGGGTATCTTATATGGTGATTATTTGAGGCTGGCTCGTCCCATGTGTCATTTCTGTGGCGATAACCCATCTTCAGGAGCATGATTCACTGGCAGCATACCACTCCAGCCGCTTGTCCAGCTGATCCCCTGCAGTCAGACCATTTCCTCGTTTCCAGTCGTTCGTGAATATAAATGCAGCAGACACTGCTGGTTGTCTGCTCAGACCCCCGCAGATCCTTTGCTCTGTTTCTGCATGTGCCTCCTCTGGCTCCTGGGTGCTTTTGTTCCATGGGTTTGTACCGTGTGTCTTGGTGAAACACTGCTCTGGGGCTGCTAGCGTCGCTTTATAAAGCACAAGGTCAAAGAGCTGGATGTTTATGACCTCACGGGGAGGTTAACACACCCCACTCCCACCTCTAGGGAAGACATTAGCCGATGGGTGTTGGGTGTAGGGGTCTGAAAGCCCAGCTCCCTTGCCTGAGGTCAGAGCAAACTCAGATCCACTCTGGGGTTGCTTGATGGTGGTGCTGCCCAACAGCATGTTAGCAGAAGTGATGCCATTTTCAAGGGTAGGTGACAAGCGATGTGTTGGGCTTCTGCTTCATGCTCTCTCTTGGATTACTGGCTGCCACGCCATGAGGACACTCAAGCAGCCCATGGAGAGGCCCATGTGGTGAGGAACTGAGGCCTCCAGCCAATAGCCATAGAATGATCTTAGAAGCAAATCCCCCCCCCAAAACCCCGGCCCCAGTCAAGCCCTAAGATGACTGCAGTCGCTGCTGACATCTTGACTGCAATCTCAACATGAGACCCAGAGCCAGGCCCACCCAGCTGAGCCTCAGAATTGCAGTCATAACTGTTTATTGTTTTAAGCCACTTTAAGTCTTAGGGTAATTTCTATGCAATAACAGCAACCAGCTGTATCTTCCTCTTGGAGGTTCACAATGCAAACCACCAGGCTAAAGAAGAGTATTTAACCTTAACCCAGCACTTTCCAAACTTATGGGACTGTAGATCCCATCCTCCCCACCCCCACACTTTTTTTTTTAATGGCACTCATTCCGGGAACTGCTGATCTCACATGAAATCTTGGACACACTCAGAAAGTCTCAATTTCTGTCACTTCTTCAAAGACATCTCTTTGTCCTCTAGCAACCGAGTCTGTGCTGGCTTAGATCTGAGGTGTGCATGGGCATGTGTGTGTGTCTGTGTGTGTATGCATGTGCACGTGCCTGTTGGCAGTAAGATCTGTCATCGTGTCTTCTGTGGATTTTGTAAGCTGTCACTGTCAGATCCAGAACAAGCCAGTGTGTCAGGTGGCTCTGATGGAGCAAAAACAGGCACAGGAAAAATGGAATTGTCCTGTGATATCAGGTCACTAGGCAACGTTTCCAAGACAGCTGGTCCTTGTCATTCCTCTGCTCTCTCTACTTTCCTGAGCTGCCAGGAGGGTGATAACAACTAAGCAACAGTCCTGTTTAATTTACAAACTCTTTCACTGATCTCAGCAATTCTCTGGGGACTGGGGGTGGTAATAAGGGTGGTTATTTATGCCCATTTCACAGACGAAAAATCCGAGGCTCTGAGAGAGAATTAAAAGTTTTGTTTGTTTAAAACATATGCACACACACATGGACACACCCATGCTAAATTCATGTATTATTCCCTCTGCCAGAAACCCTTAAGCCTTCTTCCCACCCTTCCTGCTACCTGATCTAGCTAACAGAGTGGTCTGGAACCAGCCTGTCTGAGTTAGAAACTGACTCACCACTCCAGGCTGTGGGACCCTGGGCACGTTTTGCATCATGGCGCCACCTTGCAGGGTTAACTAGATTAAATGGAAAAATGGATGAGAAGAGCACAGACAGTGCCTTGCAGCTAATAAACATTCAATAATGTCATTATTATTAATACTCTCCCTTCAGGTTTCAACTTGACATCATTTCTTTCATTTTTTTCCTAGAAGCCTCCAGTAACTACCCCACCCAGGTTCCTCCTAGGCAGCCACCATCCCAGCGCCCAATTGTCTAGGGATATTTGGACTCTGGCTACAACTTAGAATCTTTCAGGGAGGCTTTGAAAAATATGCATGCCCAGGCTGCATCCCAGACCCATTCTATGAGAATTTCTGGAAGTGTTTTTCCCAGAGCATGAGCTTCCTGAGGGCAGAGATTTTATCTGATTTTTTTAATAGGGGGCCAGGGAAGGATGCTGGTGGCTGGATGTCTGGGCTCCTCCATTCAGGGCATGGCCACTACTGGACAGGGCCAGGGATGAGCCCAGCCAAACAGCATTGTCCAGGTAGGCCTCCTTGTCTTCCAGAGAGGAAGATGCAGCATTTTGCTGTCAGCCTGTTCTCTGGCCCTCTCCTTCCCACTGTGACCTCTTTTAATAGACCCAGCTGAATTTTTGTGCTTCCCCCCTCCATCCTTGAATTCACATGTTGAAACTTAATCCCCACGGTAATGGTATTAGGAGGTGGGGCTTTGAGGAAATGACTAGGTCATGAGGGTGGAGCATTCATGAATGGGATTTGTGCCCTTATAAAAGACACTCCAGAGAGCCTCCCTGCTCCCTTCCCCCAAGTGAGGACATAGCAAGAATTTGGACATCTGTTAACCAGGAAGTGGGCCCTCACCAGACACCAAATCTACCAGCACCTTGATCTTGAACTTCCCAGCCTCCAGAACCATGAGAAATACATTCCTATCGTTTATATGTCACCCAGTCTATGGCATTTTGTTGTAGTAGCTTGCACAGATCGACACAAGCCTCTTCATGGATAGCCATTGCAGCACAGCTGAAAATAACAACAGCAATAATAATAGCTGATATTCTGAGCACTTGCTATATTCTAAGAGCTATGCTGACTGCTAAGGGGCTGAAGTCATCTTCCTGTTTCATGAAAAATATGTAATTTGTATCTCAAGTAGAATTTGAAAGTTTCTCCTAATTTATCACGACGGGTCCATTCTTGGGCACCGGGTTAGGGATTGGCAACTAAGATTATGAGATATGGTGTCAGGGTTAATTCTAGACCTCTGACATTTGAAACTGAGAAATTCCCTAGTTTCCGTTCTTCTTCCAAACAAGACAGCAAGAATCGGGAGGCAGGTGCTGGGAGAGCATCAGTTCCAGGTACAGACTCTGGGGAGCCCTCTTTAGTAACCGATCATAAGTTCCCAGAAGATCCTAGGCTCAGCTTTTCATGGGTGTAGGGCTGGGTCCACAGACGCCAAGGCTGAGGAGACACCCTCTGTCATTGCCCCCTGCTTTAGCAGCTTTGGGCTAAGCACTTTGCATGCACACATTGCAACCCTCACATCAGCCCTGCAGCACAGCCACCCACTTTTATGGATGAGGCAATGCATGTTTGCAGAGGTAAAGTGACAAGGTCACACCTAGCAGCAAGCAGCCGTGGGGTCAGAACTCAGATCCCTGATGGCTTTGTGGTCTCCCTGATCACAGAGCCCACACTTAGTCCTGCACTGGGCCCCACTATTTTCTTGGTGTACTTGCATATTGCCTGAGACTCTCGTTATACTCAGGAAGGCAAAAACCTGTGAGAGGAGAGACCCACGTCTGTGTTCCCCAGGGCCTAGTGCTGCAACTGGTGCATATTAGGCCAATGAGTGTGTGTGTGTGTGTGTGTGTGTATGTGTGTCTGTGATTTAAAATCTTTAACAACAGGTAGGACCATGGCACTGATCATTCAGAATCTGCCACTGGTCCAAAGGCTTCCTGCCAAGGAGACATTAACCCTTCAGCTGCTGGTTCATAGAGGGTGTTGGGGGATGGGGCAGTGGCTATGTTTAAAGTTGTAGGTTTTATTATTATTTGAGTATGGCAAGTCCAACAGAAAAGGGATAGATTGCCATTGAAAAGTTAGCTTGTTATGCTTACAGTTCCCCAGAAGAAGGGGCGCACAACACCACAGGGTGGGGTGGGGGCACATGCAGGAAAGCACCAATGTTGCTAGAAGGCACAGGGAGCAAAGGAAAAAAAAGGGCAAGAGTTTTAATTGTGATTTCCATGGGACGGAAAGGGTGAGGCAGGGTAAGCAGGTTTAGGATTGGCCCGCTTGAATAATTCTGGCAGGCTCTGGGGTATAGGGGCTGTCCTTATTTCTCTGGTCTCTGGCCCTGGGGTGATCAGGGCAGAGGGTTAGTGGCCCCAGAACTTAAAAGCAGAGTAAAGGAGGTGGTTGGGGGTGTGAGCTCTGGATTGTTTGTTTTGCATGTGAAAGGTGTGCTCCCCTCCCAGAGGGTCCTTTCCTACCTGTAGGAATTGGCTGGCCCTGGAACAAGAGGTCTCTCCAGGGTCAGTGAGGCCTCAAATGGCCAAAGCATCAAAATAAAATGACATGCTTAATACAGGCTGGGACATTGTTAGGGAGCCTCAGAAGCTCAGGCAGTGCTGTTTACCAAGTGGTACTGAGGTATTCCAATATTAGGACATGTGGCATATAGTACCTGGGCATGCCAGGTGAATTTAGTGCTCAGCACAAACGCTCAGTGAATACACATTGAATTGCTGAATGAGGGGGCCAGGCTCGGAGTCTCTTCCTCTTTCCCCATAGCTAAGTAGCTCTTGGAGAATGGCAATGGCAATGCCATTTCACACAGCTGTCCTTCCCCTTTTCCACGGGAACCACCGGATAACTCACATGTTTGGACCTGGGAGGCCTTTGACTTGGGGGACAGGCAGGTTGACTTAGCCAGCCCTCAGCAGCCTGACTGCTGAAGAGCTGAGCCCCCAATAGGCCTTGAGACCCCCACACCCTCTGACAACTCCTGGGACCAGGACATGGAAGGGGAGGGGACCTCAAGGCAGCCAAATAGCCTGCCAGCGCCAGTTGTTGGCTCATTTAAGAGACAGTATTGATTTTCACATTATGATGCACTACCCATGAGGCACCAAAGGGAGGGGGTGGAGGAGAAGCCAGTCACTGATTCCCGGAATTTATTTCAAGACACATTAATTTGTTTCTTCCCTTCAAGGTCAAATCAAGTCATCTCCATATATCACCACTGGCAGCTGGCTGGCTGGAAGGCAGTTGGGAGGGGGTGGAGGTACACTGTGGATAAAATTCTCTGGGCGCTGGGTGAAGGGGGGTGTGAGTAGGTTCTGGGCACCCCCGTCCCAGTATCATCAAAGCGAGGACTCGGGAACAATATTCCTTTGTCATCCAGTTGAGTATCTCTGGAGAAGGGTCAAGTCATTTATTTTGATGCCCAGTCTTATGTCTTTGAGCTGGAAGCTTTCAGAACTGAAATGAGCCAGGTTTCTGGGGTTTGAATTCATGCCTTCAGCCTAATGGCCCAGGGTGACTCACACTCTCCATTCATTCATTCATCCATTCACTCAATAAATATTTATTTCCTCTGATGTGCCAAAAAGGCACTTAGCAAAAAAGACAGTAGTGGATAAGACAGTCAAAGAAAATCCCTACTCTTTTGGAGTTGACATTCTAAGGTGTATCTGTGTCAGTGACGTGTGTTGAGGGTAGCTTACATGTTAACAGGCATGTGTGTTTGCAATTTGCACAAGTGCTTTGAAGTAAATAAAGCAGCATGATGTATTTAACAGTCAGTGACCAAATGTGGCTGTTGTGGGGCCTCTCAACATATTGTAGGATTTGAGCAAGCAGGGATAGGGGTTGGGAGGTGGGAACTGAGGGGAGATCTGCGGAAACAATGATAGGAAGGAGGCAGCTGGCAAAGAGCTGGGGGCAGAATTTTTGCAACCAAAGGAATGGAACGTGCAAAGGCCCTGAGGTAAGAATGAGCATAATGTGTTCATGAGCATAATGTGTTCGAGGCACAGAAAGGAGGCATGTGCATAGGAAACAAGAGAGGGAGTTGTGGGAAGTGAAGCGAAGGTGAAGGGCTTGAGGTCAGGCTGCCTGGGCCAGTCACTTAGCAGGTGTATGATCTGGGGCAGGGCACTTAACCCTTCCCTGCCTCAGTGTCCTTATCCATAAAATGGAGATAAAAGTTGGACGTACCTCTTAGAATTGTAGTGCAATTAAATGTATTGATATCCAAAAAGCACTCAGCACAGTGTCTGGTACACACTAAGGATTCTTTCATTTTCCTGCCTCTGTGACTGGACTGTGAGCTACTGGAGGCAGGGATCAGATCGTGTCATTGCTTGCTATGCCCTTGGCTCCCAGCACCGGCCAGAGCAGAGTGGGTGTTCAGGAAATAGTCACTGATTCCGCCGTCTTTTCGGGGTTTAGAGGTGCCTTTGAGAAGCAGGCCAGCAGCTCCTTATGAACTATTCCAAAAGCAAGCACATGGGTTCCAGTTCTGCCATCATCATGTGACTTACCCAAGTCACTTCTCTCTTAGCTTCAGCTTCATCACTGTTAAATTAATATCTACTTCCTAGGGTACTGTGGGGACTAAATGGGATTGGCTCCATAATGGAGCACCTGGCCCAGGCCTGGCCAATCAAAGCACCGATGTCTTGACCTGTGCTTAGCTCAGGGATGGTCATGTGACCCAGGCTGGTCCAATAAGAGTGACTCTCTGGAATATGGCAGAGATTATGGGTAAAGACTGGCTTTTATTCCTCCTCAGGACTGGAATGTGGGAGGAGGTGCAGTGACTGCAGCCGCCTTGTGACCACAGTGGGAGGACACCGGGCACAGAGGGCTGGGAGCAGGGGAAGCAGGGAGCAACAGAGAGACTGGGAAGGAAGCCGACACTGCAGGGCCCCGTCAGATGGAGGGAAACTGAGTTCCGTTGATACCATTAGAGCCCTGAGTCCAGATGCACCTAAAAAGCAGTCTTATCCCAGACTTCTCAGCTATGTGCACTAATACATACCCCTTTTTGCTTAAATCAGTTTGAGTTGGGTTTAAAGAGTGCTGCTTGATGCACTGTGCCAGCAGCCCTGATCCCTACCACCTTGCAGTCAGGGTTCTGTGTTCCTGGCAGCATCTGAATCTACAGCAGCCAGAGCACTGCTGATTGCTCTCACAGCGGTGCCCCTTTCCTTCTTCCTAACAGAACCTTGTTTTGCTCAGGCAGCAATGTACCTGGCCTCAGAGGACATTGATCTAAGCCTGTCATGGCCATCCCTTTCCCTTGTACCTGGAATCAGTTTCATGTTAGATGTGATCCAGTTTTAGCCAATGAGATAAAAGCTGGAAGGTTCTGGAAAATACTTTGCTCCCTGATAAAAGAATCCAGATGGGAAGACCTTTTTATCCTTGCCCTCTCTTTCCATACATTGTCATATGAGGATGAGATGCTTGGAGCTGCTGCAGCCATCTTGCAATTATGAGGACAGACTGTGATGATGTAGACTTGTCATAAATGGCAGAGGAAAAAGATGGAAATACTCTGGGTTATTGGTGGCATAACAATTGGAAAAAAACAACTCTGAATACACTTACCTCTAAACTGTTTGTGAAATTAGACAATAGCTATCTAAGCCACTATTCATTAGGCACTATTACGTTAATCTACAGCATCGCTGACTGATGCTGTATATCTAGGTGGTATTGCATTTATTTTTTCATCGAGAGAAGCACACAAGACTAAGAACATCAGCTCCTTTATTATTATTATTATTATTATCAATTATTTACTGTTATTTTCCTCAAACCAACAGCACAACTCAAATAACAATGACACACATGTCCCACCCATATAAACAATACCACTAGCCTGTCTGCCAGGCTACCTGGCCTTTGCTTGGTTCCTGATGGAGCCGTCTGGAGACAGCCCCCTCGGTAAAAATCCCAACTTGGACATAAGGGACACAAGAAAAAGAGGACCTTGGCCAGAGAATAAACTGAAAGTCTCCAAGAGTCCTTAGGGAGTGCCAGCTTGGGAACCTTGGGAACGTGCTGGGCAGAGAGCAGAAGGCACTGTTTGTTTTCATGTGGTTAATGGAAAAATCCCATATGGGAATATAAGACCTGTCTACCACCCTTTCCAGGCCAGGGACGTAGAAGGACAATGGGGTGAGCTAATGGATTTCATCGACCAAACCATGTGGCAGGCATGGAAATTGGGAGCCCAGAGTAGGAACCTGGGTGATAGGGAGGTCCCCAGAGAAAAATAACTCTTGCATCAGCTGCAAGGTAAGATACAATGTGAAATGTTAAGTCCCCTTTTATTTGTTTTGCAACTATAGAATGTGCAACATTTTCATTGAGATAGAAAAGGTAAAGAAAGAAAAACTAGTATTTTGGCCTAACGCAACCAAGCATGATTTGCCAATTGCGCCAGCTTGTTGAGAAATCTACACGATCCAGGGAATCCGGGGTCAGTCCCCTGCTCTCCCAACCCCCAACATTCAGTGGCATTAAATCTGAGCTCTAAAGTAATATAACCCTGGAATCAGAGGAGCACTAGGGTTGGGGACAGAATTAGAATGGGCCAAGACTGGGGTCTCAAGTGCAGGTGACTTCCTGGCTGTCTTGGGGAAGCTCGTGGTTGAAGCTGCTCTCTCCAAATGGTGAGTAAGGGGGGACCTGGGGAGCTTCGATGATCAGCAGACCCTCTGGGGAAAGTGAGGCAAATACTGTTGCAGGATCCACCTCCGCTGGAAGCCTAGGAGAAGCACAAGATTTTATTCATTTATTATTTTCAACAGAGCTCAAACATTCTTTATTCATTTGAAAGTAAATATTTTGATAACAGTTTAAGCTTTGGGGATATACAATGGTGAGTTTAATCCTGGCTCTACCCCTTTCTAGTTATGAGTTCTTGGAAAGATCATTCAATTGCTCTGAGCTTGTTTCCTCATCTGCAAAATGGGGATAATAATATTGAATTTGTAGAGTATTTGAAGTTCTAGAATGAGACAGCGTCTGAACATGTTTGCGAATAGTCAAATGCTGCTTGAACAGTAGTTCCTGGCTTAAAAGAGAGTTGTCACCCAATTATTTGGCCCTAGGTTGAGGTCTTTGCCTTAGCACCCTCCACTGACCACAACTGCCAGCAGAAATGGAACCACTACCGTCCCTTTATAAGTAAGGTGTTATGCATAGCAGGTAACATATTTCCATTTGGCATGTGCCTGCTGCAGAGTGCTTTACTACAAAATGCTTGAATGGTGGGACCGGCACCTTAGCAGATAAAAGGGGTCAGGCTGGCCGCAGGTAGACTGCAGATGGCAACTTACTCTATGATGTGGAGAATAAGCCTTGACTTTGGTCACACATTAAACAACTCTCAGCAAGTCATAATTGTTTTGCTCCTAAAACTCAATTATAGGCATCACCTGGTTGGAGTTTTATAAGCATCTAGGATGAGTAATAGGTAAGTATTAATATGCTCATTTCGCAGATCAAGAAACAGAGACTTCGGGGAAATCAAATAACAAGCTCAATAAGTGAGAAAGCATCAAAGATGGGATTTCTTAACCCAAATCTGATTTCAGTTCTGATGAGATATTTTTATGATTTTTGGTTCATTTTGGGTGAATGATGCTATATGGTGTGTAGTTTCTTCAACAAACTATGAAATTGTGTGGAGATGTTAGTGGTCTCATTGGGGTGCCATTATTATTAAAAATAGTGAAAACTATGACCTTATGAGCACTTTCTACGTTCCAAGTACTTTACATGAATCGTCTCATTTAGGTGTTAACAATAACCCCACCAGTTAGATTCTATTATTATCCTCAACTCATGGATGACAAAATTGAGGCTCAGAGAGGTGAACTGATTTGCCCAAGGTCACCCAGCTGGTAAATGGCAGATGGGAACCGGAATTAGAATCCTGGTCTCTAAACTTAGACGGAGTAACTTATCATGATATCTCCTGCCTTCCCTGGCACCAGACTTTTGGAAAAAGGACCATGAAGGGAAGGCCAGGAGGTGCAATCCCCTTAGATCTTTCACTGGTTCAGGCTGGCTCTGCTGGCAGGCCCTGTTAATGCCAGGGCCTTGATGCAAGAACCAAGACAGGGGGGAAGCCCATTCCTGGTTATGGGCAGGCCCCTTCCAGGAGGGGCTGGGTAGCTTTGATTTGTTTTGTTTTTCATTCTGTACAGCAACCTTGTAGCCACATGAGCTGCACCCACCCCAGAGACTCCATGCCAAATCGGAACCACAGAGATTAACAAGGGTGCTGCTGGGCAGGATGAAAGAGAAACAAGGAAGCTTGGACCCCCTGTCCCACTGCTGGGGATGGGCTGACTGTCTAACCATTCATATGCCAACCCAGTGCACACCTGGGACACTGTGAACAGTAGCTCCGGTCCAAAGCATGGGCTCTGCAGGCAAGTGGATCTGCACTCAAATTCTGACTCTTCCTGATTGTACAACCTTGGGCTGGTGATCTGGCCTCTCTGAACCTATTTCTTTGTAGGAAAAAGAGGGTAACAATAGTGTCTATCTCTTTGATGGTGTGAGAATTACATTGTGTAGCAAATTACCTTGCACATAGGCATCTTGACGGCTGTGACTATTTTAACACAAATTGCAATATCATGAACCACAGAGTATCAGAGCCCCCAAAGGGGTCTTCCTGCTTGTCCAGGACAATGTTCTCATGTTACACATGGGGAAACTGAGGCCCAGAGAGAGAGGAATAGACTTGCCCAAACTGTCTTGGACCCACATGCTAGGAAAGTTATTCCTCTTTAATTCTCTTTTAATCTTTCATTTACATCTAAAAAGATGTCTCAGGTAAGTGTGAATGTGCCTTAACACCTTTAGCCTCTAACACTAGCTACTTTCCCTTTGTAACAAAGTAAGAGCTGATTTAAGGGTTAGGCCCTTAGGCAAAGCAACATTATCTAGTTAGAATTTAACCACATTTTGCTTTCATTGGATTTATTTCATGATTGCCTTCTTCAGTGAACATTGTAGTGATGAGAATTTAACTTTATCAAAAGTGAGTTCATCTAAAAGAAATATGTCTTAAGCAAATAATGGTATAGAAAGGCAAGCACGTAAGGCCAGAAATAGTGAAGGTAATATGTGAATGAATGAATTGCAAATGACTGTAATTTGGTCTCCTCTAACCAAGGAAGACAGTCATGGGCTTTGAAAATTGAGAGACATGTTTTCAAATCTCAGATCTGCTCCCTTTAAAAACAACAAAAAAAAAACCCACAACCAATTTTATTGAGATATCACTGACATATACAATTGTGTGTGTATGTACACATATGGTGTACAACTTGATGTTTTGACATGTGTATACGTTGTGAAATAATCAGCCTAATCAAGCTAATTAACATATCCATCACCGCTATATAGTCACCATTGTGTGTATGTATGAGAAGGTTAAATTTAAGATCTACCCTCTTAGTAAATTTCAAATATGTAATATTTGTTAACTATTATCACCATGAACGTTATTAGCTCTTCAGAGCTTATGCAACCCATGTAACTGAAAATTTGTATCCTTTGGCCAAGATCTCCTCATTTTGTCCTGACAAGTGCTGTCCTCTCTGCTTCCATGAGTTGGACTACTTTAGATTCAGTGAAACCATGCAGTATTTTTCCTTCTGTGTTCTGCTTACTTTCTTAGCATAATGCCCTCCAGCTCCACCCACACTGCTGCAAATGGCAGGATTTCCTTCTTTGTTAAGGCTGAATAATATTCCAGGTCTGCTCTCCACTGGTCGTGTGGCCTTGGTTGAGTCTCATCAGCCACCCCTCTGAGCTTCAGTTTCTTCATCCACACAATGGGCTTAATAATACCTACTCAATAGGATTCTTTTAAAGATCAAATGAAATTAAACCTATAAACCTCTTAGCACGGTGCTTGATGCATCATTAGGCGTCATGAGTGGCAGAACAGAATACCCGGGAAGATGTGGAACAAAGGGAAAGTCTGCTCTGGCTCTGGGCATCCTCTGCTTCCTGTTCTCTCTCCAAGCTGGGTGCAGGAAAGAGCTCAGCTGCTCTGCCTGCAACCTGATAGGCAAATTCCAAGATCTCTTCCTCCCCCTCATTTAGTCAAGATGGGGCCTTTCCCGAGAGATTGATGTGTTGGGATAGATTTCCCAGCCGTGGCTGAGGAAAAGAGCCACCACGGCATCCTCTCTGGGTGGAAACCCCCACGGATCCCAGCCTGCTTGTGACTCTATCCCATGACCTCGTTGGAGCCTCTCAAAAGAAACATCAGCTTCCTTCTTCTCCCTTCTCCCTTTCTCTCCCCTCTGCCATGTTTGATCCGGTTGCCATGCCAGGGAGAGGTGTGGGTCATGGAGCCAGCGGCGTGAAGCACAAATGGTTTGGCGTTTGCCTTACCAGAATGTGTCCACAGGCTTCCAAGAACCATGGAGGCTCTGGGAAGCTCCGGAATGGACACGGGAGGGGAGAGACGGGAATACAGAATCCCGAAGCTGAAAGAAACCTCAGAACTCAGCTAGGGCGATCTCTTCGGCCACAGGACCTCTTTGCCAGGGCTAGTAGCAGAGTTAAGATTCAACAACAGCAATAACAGGAGTAGTAATAACAAACTGCCACTTATGAGGACCTACTATGTGCCATGCTCTCATTTCATTTTCAATTGGTAACTCCAGGAAGCCGGAATCAGCACCCCATTTTACAGAGGAGGAAATAGCGATCCTTGCTCAAGGACTGAACGTGGAACTCAGAGGTCAGGGATCTGTTTTGAGCTGTCCTAAAAAGACTTTGGCTATGTCCTTTCACCTTCGGGCAACTTTGTTTCCCCATAATACAAAGAAGGTGATGTCTCTTCTAATTGCAGCTAAGTCAAGTCGCCTCCCCTACTCTCAGACTCTTCATCTGTAAAATGGGCTTGTTCATACACACCTCACAGGGCACTGCGTGGATGAGGTGGCACAGTCCATGTGCTCCCCCCTTCTGGGACCCCATTGCAGGTTTGATGGAACACTTTTCTCCCCCATGTTATGTGTGAGGCTTCGATGCCCTGCCCTGGGGGTGCGGTGTCTTGAAAGAGAGCTTTCCAAGAGGGAGAGACCCCAGATCTCGGGTCCCAGGTGTGCCCTCTCCTCCACTCCCACCTTGGGCGCCACACTGTGAGGTTACTTACTGGATTTTCTTGGTGAAATTCTTAGAAACGATGCCGCCTTCTTGCTGTTTTTCTTCGTGTTTGCCTGGAAGGAAGAGAAATGTCGTGTGTCATCAACTACATCCCTTGGGCATCATTCTTTTCCCTCCCTCCCTCCCTCCCTCCCTCCCTCCCTCCTTCCTTCCTTCCTTCCTTGTTCTCTCTCTCTTTTTCTCTTTCTCTCCTTTCTCTCTTTCTTTCTTTCTAATGAAGAAATTGTCTCCAATTTCTCTTTAAACAAGCTGTATTAGTGCACGGGGAGCTATTCGACTATCACTTTTCACTCCCACATTCCAGAGCCAAGAAACCTCATTTAACCAGGGAGGCCCTTCTGAGGGGCTTTGGAATCTGCACTCTAAATAACCCTGTGGGATATAGCATCTTTTTGCAGTCCAGATTTTTTTTAAACTGACAATTTATAGGTGATTATTAACTATTCCTTTTTTTGAGACAGTCTCACTCTGTCACCCCAGGTGGAGTGCAGTGGTGTGATCAAAGTTCACTGCAGCCTACAACTCCTGGGCTCGAGCCATCCTCCTGCCTCAGTCTCCCAAATAGCTGGGGACTACAGGTGTGAACTACCATTCCTGGCTAATTTTTTCTATTTCTGGTAGAGACAGGGGATCTTGCTCTTATTCATGTTGGTGTCTAACCCCTGACCTCAAGTGATTCTCCCATCTTGGCCTCCCAGACTGCTAGGATTATAGGTGTGAGCCACTATGCCCGGCCTAACTATTCCTTTGCTAATAAATTTTTTCTGGTTACGAAATAATGCATGTGTATGTTAGAAAATAAAGGAAAAAAAAAAAGCATCAAAACCACCCATAATCTCATCATCCTGAGGAAGCCACTAATAACATTTTTTATATGTTCTAGACTTTTCTTTCTATGTTTCTTGGAGATTATAAATGTTATTATAGTATAGATGTATATCAATATTTTATCAGATAGGACCATTGTATGCACTATGCTTGAACACTACTGTTTTCTCTTGCTAACACATTATAATTACTTTTCCATATGACCAAATATTCTTTAACATGATTTTTAATGGCTGCACAGTGTTCTGTTGAGGAATATACAATATTAATAGTTCACTTAGCCAGTCCCCTGCTTTGGGGCATTGAGGATGTTTCCCACGTTGGAAGGAAGCTCGCGGCACTAAACATTCTTGTAGCTAGATCTTCGCGCCAGACCTGATGAGTTCTGTAGCATTGAATTCCAAGTTCTAGAATTTCTAAGGCTTAAATCAATATTGCTAAATTGCCCTCAGGAAAGCCTGTACCAATTTATGCTCCCACTGGCAGGGCAGAAAGAGGTGCGTTCGTAGGAACTCATTTCTAAACTCGAGTGTCTGGCTAACCAGAACATGCTGTGCATGTGCGGCTGCCCAGCGAGTTTATTCTGTGCTGCCAACTCCGTGACCACCAACGGCCTGGCTCCAGCACGGGCCTGCAGCCAGAAGGGCACTGTCTGTTCTTTGGTATCCTCCCCAAAGCCTGGGCCTCCGGAGGCCTGCTTCCCCTGGGGACAGGCCAGTGCCTCTGACTCAGCCCTTTTGCATCCCGGAATCCTTCTGCATGCTTGGTGTCCTAGGAACAATGACCGATGACGATGAAGGGAATAATAATGGCAAACTTGTATAGCCCTTACTTGGTGTCAGCCACTGTTCTAAGCCCCTTACCTGCTTACCTCCTTTATTTTTTGCAACAACCCTAGCTCGTAATAATAAAATAATAAATAAAAGAAGGGACTTTTATTAATGCCGTTTTATGAGTGGAAAAACTGAAGTTCAGAGAGGTTAAGGGCTGTGCGTGGAAGTGATTGGAGCAAAGATTCAAAAGCAGGCAGACAGGTTTCAGGATGCTGGATTTGGGATTTAAGTCCCTGCTCTGACATGTCCTAACACATCTCTGCCCTTCTCTGAGCCTTGGTTTATTCTTCTCTAAAATGGGGATGACAACACTTACTGGGTTACTGTGGGGAGCAAATGAAAGCAAGTCAAGAATGGCTTGATCAATTGTGAACATACTGTGTGAAGGTGAATGCGTGTGGTTTATTCTAACGTTTGCAGAAAGAACTGCTCCTCGGAAACTAGGTGTCTGTGTCCATGCTCTGAAAATAGGGTACTGGGGTTAGGGAAGGGAGAATCTCTGAACACGGGTAGCTCCAAGATTTCCATAAGTGAGTTCTGGGGCAGGGGTTAATCTGGTTGAAAGAGGGTTTTGTCAGAAGGATCCTCTTTAGGCTTACTTTGCATATTTAGCTTGTTTATTGGAGCAGTTTAAGGATTATGGGTGATTCTTAACTTTTGATTTTAATTTCTTACTTACATTTTCTATCATGAAAACATTTTATTTTTGTAAACAGAAAGAAGTAATTATCATGATTTAAAAAAAAACCTCATCTGGAGGCCAGGGGAAGCCAGACGCCCCTTGCAGCCACCATGGTTTTCAACATGCCTCAGACAAAACACAGGTGCCAAGAAGCAGACATCAGCACTCCAGGGAACCAGGGAACCAGGGAACCAGGGAACGCTATTGGCCCAGCTAAAGAAAGAAGGTTCTGTTCCCAAGGAAGGCAGGGGCCCCAGGATTAAGGAGAAAGGGTGGGATTAAAGAGAAAGGGGCGGAGGGAATAAGGCCTTGGGGCTTTCCAGACCCTTTCTTAGCCAGGGCCTGGCCCAGTGGCCCATGAAGGGAACATCTCTTGGCTTGTGATGGCACAATGGGGGTAGGGAAATGGGAGGCTTGATGGAAATTGTCTAGTCCAGCATTTTCCAAACACTTCCCTGAAATAAGACACTCATACATGGTCAGATAAGATAGGGCTGCCTTTCAGAGAGTCACGAACAACATTAGTGAATTAAAGGCTCTGATAAGCCCTGCAGTGAGGAGACCTGGTTATAAATTTGCTTCATCTGGCCCTTACTTATAATACTTTGAACTCCCCTCTCCCCATTTCTCAGATGCCTGGTAACACTTTGAAGTGCACCGTTTGGCAAATACTAATCTAGTACACCTCTTTATAAAACCAACAGTAAAGCTGAGGTCCCAGAGGTAGTGGGATTTGCCCAGGGCCATGCAGTCGTAAGCAGATCCAACCACCCGGACTCAGAACCAGCCAGGGAGGCCTGGCGTTGAGTCTCAGACGCTGCCACAGAGAAACGGGTCAACCCTGGTGAGTTACATTCTCTAGGCCTCAGTTTCCTTATCTGTAAAATGTGGGTTAACAGTTTGACCCATGCTTTCTAGAAGGTCCTTGTGTGGAACCAGTGAGCCAGTATGGGTATAGACATTTAGCACAGGGCCTAGCACAGGGTGCTTGCGGAAGAAGAGATTTGTCATTATGTGGTGTAGGATGGGAAACTGGATCTGACTTCTGACTTCCCTGGAAAGTTGCTTTTTAAATAGAGCTGATCTCGGTTTTACTTTTTAAACCCCTTTTATGAAAGCCCTCGTATGTACTGTCAGGGAGTTTGGATTTTTGTATAGCTGAGGGCCACTACCTGGACATCTAAAAGGCTTCGTCTTTGTCTTATTTAAGCTGCCAATGAACCCATTTTACAGAGGTGGAAATTGAGGCTCTGTGACATACCCAAAGACTCTGGATTAGTAAGGACAGTAAGGCCTGGGGCTGCCAGTCCCCACCTGTTAAGAAGCACCTACAAAAGGGGCTGGAGAAAAGGCTGGACAGAGGTTCTCCTAGTGGATCATGGTAGTCTCCTGGACTGGAAACCTCCAGAACTCTCATGAAAAGATGGACTGGAAGGGTGTTAATAATCATCCTGTTTACAGAGTGCCAGGCAGGCACTAATATTAGCTCCATTTTACAGGGACTCTGCATAGATTATCATATGTTGTCTGCACATATTTAATCTTCCCTGCAGTCTGGCAGGATAGATATTATCATGATGCCCATTCTGCAGACAGGAGAACTGAGGTTTCAGAGCGTTGAGATGACTTTCTTGTCCATATCCACCCAGCGAGTGAACAGCAGTGCTGGAATCCTCACCCAGCTCTCAGAGAGCACCTATCATTTATTATTTACTGGGACCTTCCTACGTGCCCAGCACTGCAACAACAACAACAACAACAACACCGACTCCATGTGTTCCAGATACTACGTCTGTACACAGTTCACAGCCTCACCCCATGTAATACAGCAATCCTTATGGTGCAGCATTTCAACCCCAATTTCCAGATAAGGGAACAGAAGCTCAAAGAAGTTAAATATTAATCATGTGCACATCCTGCCATTAGTGGGAGAGCCAGTTTTGGAGCTGGTGCCTGGCTCGCCAGCCAATGCAGAGGGCCCGGCTGCCCCCCACCCCTCGCAGCAGGTGGCTCCAGCGTGTCTCCTGACCCACCACGCCCCGCTGCCACTGGGGCCTCTGATGTTTGTAATTCTGCCGTGAGTGGCCTTGAAACACTCCCTGAACCTTGCTGGGGCTTGTTTCTGCCCGGCCTTGTGTCTCCAACGGCTTTTATTCATTCTCCAGGGGGCAGGCCTCTGCCGGGAACCCACTCTTTCTAATTTCTAAGTATTAATTGGGAAGGAAGGAAATGAAAGCTTTCTCTGCCACCCAGTTTAACAGAAGCTGAGCTTCCTGTCTTCCCTCTGTTCCTTCTCCCAGGCGAGGATGTGGCTGCAAGAGCCCCAGGCCTAAAATCATGCACAGACGTCCTACTGCTGACTCATGGCATGACTCATGGTGAACCGGTCCTGCCTGCGCCTCAGCCTCCTCAGCTGCAAAATGGGACCAGCCAGCCCTGCTACTCAGGCTAAGACTGAGGATTATTTTGGAGAAAAAAAATATTACCATTTTAGTCCAGCTGTTGACACCTAGTGAGTGCTCCCAGTTCCCAGACAGCCTGCGTCTGAATCCTTGGTGGCCGTGGGCAAGTTAATTTAGCAAGGTGCCCAGCAGATAGCAAACTGTCAAGGTTACCAGTTAGTTTCACTGTCATTACTAGCAAGCCTCGGTTTCCTTATCTGGCATAAGGGGAGGCGTTTCACTGGAAACCTGTTGTATTTTTTAACACCACCTGCTCAGCCTTAAACATGCCCTTCCAGCCCCTGGGTGGTGACATTAGAAAGCAATAAATCCCATTTCTTCTTTGTTTTCGTATTCTGTCTGTATCTGTATAAGCTGGTCTGTATGTTAAATTCTTTCTGGAAAAATACCGAATGTGGTTTCCCTTTCCCTGCCTGTCCCTGACTGATAACAGCACCCAAAGGCCCCCAAAGCTGGGTCAGGTTAAGGTTTCTCTTGGAAGCGGGAGAGGAGAGCTGTTTCATAAAGATAACTTTGTGGGCCACATTCCTGAGCCCTGAGTCACCTGTATCATGTTGTCACAGATTCCCCTCTGAGGAAACTTTCTCCTGGCAACTCCCAGGTCTCAGGCCTACACCCCTGTCCCCCGGTTCTCTCTCCCTCCTGCCCCTGACTCACCAGACACCTCCACGTAGCCATCCTTGGTCTTCACCATCAGCTCCTCCGGCTTAAAGCTGTGCACGTTGACACACACCTTCCAGGGCTCGCCAGGGAAGGGTGGGGGACTCCTGCCCTCCGTAGGTACCCCAAACCTGGCCGTGGCACTGGGGCCCCGGGGCACCATGCCCGACCTCAGGGTCCCCGGCCAGGGGGAGGAGAGCCGCGGCAGAGCCCAGTCAGGCCAAGGGGCCGTCAAGTCGTCAGGGAAAGGGTCCATGCCAAAGCCATCATCCAGCAGACGGGAGGACAGGGGAGAGTCCCGGAAGGGGTCTCGGCGCAGGCGGCTGGGGTAGTGGCAAGAGAAGGGCATCTGACCATCCGCCATGGTGGCAGCCTAGCGCAGAGGGGAAACAGAGGCTCGGAGAGAAGGAGCCACCTGCCCAAGGTCACACAACAAGGTGATGAGGGTGGGCTGGCCTTCAAAGCTTATTCTTCAGCGTCAGAAAGTGCTGATCTTCTGCGGGGGACTACCATCCACTGCCAAGGATGGTGGCGCACGCTAGGCTGGGGTTCCAGCCCCCAAAGGTGACCCCCTGCTGGCCCAGCAGAATCCCAGCGGGCCCCTCTCCGCACTGCCTCACCAGAGATCAGCAAGCCACTGTCCTCCCAGGCTGTGCCCAGGCTCGCAGTCAGAGCCACTGCAGTCCACAGTGCGGCCGGCAGCTTAATAAAGCCCGTGCACGCGCGCCTAGAAACTTCTGGCTTCTGGGCTGGGAGCCTTCTATTTATTTGTTACTGGGGGCTGGAGGCGGGTTCTGCAATCTGCAAGCGCCTCCTGTCACTGGAGTATTCGGAGGTGATGAACCAGCCCCGGAGAATCCGCGGAGGGGCAGCTGGGCCGTGGAGGGGGAGGGGCCGGGAGGGGCCGCGGCGCCCAAGTTCAGCGCCACCGCAGAGGGACGCGCTCTGCTCCCGGCCGGCCCCGCCCGCGCTCCCGAGCTGCCCTCCCTAGCGGGCACGGGGCCGGCTATTAATAACCCTGCGCCTGGCTGAGAGCTCAGGTCACCCTCCGGAAATACCTTCCCCAGAGCGTGTTGTATCCTGCCCTCCCCCTGGGAACCCCCAGAAGGGGAAGAGAGAGGCAGGAGCCTAGGGGACTGGAAGGTGGATGGGTATGGGTTGGAATCCCACTGACAACCGGGCCAAGCTCTCAGAGCCTCCCTGTACTCCTAGGAGAGGGGTTAAAACTATATATAAAGACACACAGACACACACTCTAAAATGACACTTGTTAAAACACAGTAAGGAATACTTTATTTGGTAGGGGGGCTATCTCAGTAGGTGCAGGGGCCACTGCAAAGGGGTTTTGCAGTGGAGGAGAAAGATGAGACTCAACTCCCAATCCAGCGTGGGAATTTATAGCCAAGGAACAGAGAGAGGGTGTCGGTGAATGGAAAATTACTAAGAGGAAACATCAGAGATTGGGGGGATTCTGGCTAAACCCACTGAAGGGCATTCTAGCCGAAGACAGGCCAGGGTTGGCAGTGCAGACGTTACCCAGGGGTGGTGGAGGATGAGGAACCTGATCAGATATGGGCAGTGATGAAATATTGAGGGTGATCAGATATTGAAGATGGGTGGTTGTTGCTAAACTGATACAGCAGGGTTCTTGCTAGAAGTGAATTTTACAAGGGACTGCACAGGTGGGCCTAGGAGGAGATTTGGGGGCCTGATTACTGTTTGGTCAAGCAAAGAATCTTTGTCAGCAGTAACATTATTCCCAGGAACCTCTGAGTTTTCAGTTTACCTGCCTATGAAATGGACACAATCGTAGCCAACTCTTGGAGATGAGATGAGGAATACATGAGGTGTTTCTTGTTAGGCACTTAGCAGACTGATCAGCTTTTATATTTTCCATTTTGAGTTATCAATTACATAGTGCTTGCTGTATTCCAGGCTCTGTTCTAAGTGCTTTATAAATGTTAATCCTCACCAACAGTCCAGTGAGAAAAGGATACTAGTATTATCCCAACAGTCCAGTGAGAAAAGCGTACTAGTGGTACTAGTGGATAGATAATTCCTATTTGACTGATGAGGAAACTGCCGTCATAAATGTTAACCAATGATGACTTCTATTATCATTACTATGACTGTTAACAATGATAATTATCTTTAAAAAATGCTATATACTCAGGTGGGATGTCCGATCTGAAACTCAAACCCCCAAATCTAAACTTTTCTGTTTCTCCCACGCAGCAGGTCAAAGAATGAATTTACAAATCTTCCTTTGGCCTAAAGGTCCGTTGGGCTTGAGTTCCGATCTTTGATCTGTTCCCAACAGGTAGACAACTTTGAGCATGGCATTTTCCCTCTGTGGGCTTTAGGGTCTCAGCCCTGCCTTCTTCATGGGATCAGGGTAGGTTGGGGGTGTTAAGGAACTTAGTGAGTCACAGGTTGAGAAATTGTTTTGATATTAAACAGTGCTTGCATGAGGCAGTTTGCTAAAAATAATAATATGGAAAACAACAACAATTGCTACGGTTTATTGCCTCGTCTGTGTGTATGTGTATCCGCTCCTGAAATAATTAGCACGTTGCAGACAGAATGATGTTAAACCCTCACAACAGCGTCACTATCCTCATCACTCCCGTTTTACAGATGAGAAAACGGAGGCACAGAGCCTTGGCTCTTGCATACATGTATGGGATGGCAAGGCTTGGGTGGAAACCTGGGTTGTTCTGAATCCCAGATCTGTGCTGAGCTGACAGATCAAGACTCCTGCCCTCCCCCCAGCTGAGAGGGGGAGGCTGAGGCCCCACGGCATGGCAACTCCTGAGTGATTGGGCCCTCACTTGATGTAGGATGAGCTCACCGGGCTGGAAGCTTCAGGCTGACGTCATGGCTGGGCACAGAAGCCTCGGCTCTCTCTGTAATTACAGCTGGGCGGGGCCAGCTTGTGTTTGAAGCTGATTACGGGCAGAATCACTGCATGACACACGGGAGAAATCTGGCCCTGCCTGGGACCTGGCTGGGGGCTGGGGTGAGGTTTCTGAGTGGGTGGGACGGGGCAGAGGTGGCTTGTGTGTGGATTCCAGTGGGTGCAGGGGTGTGTTGTGTTTATATGCGGATGGGACTGTGTTTATTTATGGGCGAGTCTGCTGTGGGTGTGTTCTGGAAGAGTCTCCTTTCCTCCTTCCTTGCCCAGCCTTCCACAACCCCACCCTGAAACCTGCAGGAGACCCCTCTGCCTAGAACAAGGCTAACTTGGGGCCAGTGTACCAGGAAGGAGAGGAAGCCCGCAAAGGAGCAGGAAACTGAACTCGATGACCTAATCTACCTTCTCATTTCAAGAATGAGGGGGAAGAAAGGGAGGATGTGCAGCTAGAAAACAGGAATAGCAATATTAGCATTTACGGGGCACTTGCCTTGTGCCAGCTTCTGTTCTAAGCACTTTAAATTTATGTGTCTTAACTCATGTAATCCTCCCTACATTCTTCTGAGGAAGGGAATGTTAGTATCCCCATTTTGCAGTTGAGGAAACTGAGGCACAGAGAAATTATGTGATTTACCTGTGTCTATGATACATACTTGGTTAAGTGGCAGAGCTGGGATTGGAACCTGCCTGGGTAGGTTGGCTCTTAACCCATCTGCTACGCTGCCTCTGAAATCAAAGTCATGGCTCACATTTATTGAGCACTGACTGTGTACCAGGCCCTGTGGTCAACGGTTTTATTCATTACTTCATGGAATCCTCATGGTTCAGAGAGGTGAAACCACCTGCCTGGAGCCACACAGCTGAAGGAGGACTCAAGCCCAAGCCAATAGGACTTGGGAACACATAGTAATAACAGAATGGGGAATCTTCCTATGCTGCCTGGTGTCCTGGCCCCTCTGCACTCTTGCTGCGTTTCTGGGTCAGGCCAGCATGCTGTTTGGGGAAGCTGAGGAGGGAGGCAGCTGTTCATGCTGCTGATCCAGGCACCTGGTGAGGAGTCATCCAACACACGAGGAAAGTGGTCAGTGCACCCCACGGGCTGTCACCAGCCAGGTGAAAGAAGAGGCCAGAAAGGGGAAGGAGCCTCCAGGCTAGTTCCCCCAGGAAAAGATAGACCCTGGAGGGTGTATGTGTGTAGGGAGTGGGGAAGATGCCAGATCCCAGGAACCAGAACAAGGATTCCCCTGTCTACCATCCTCTTGGAGCTTTCACATGGGGTGTATCACGATTCATCCTCAAAACAGGCCAGGAGGAGGGTTACATCACCCTGCATTTGCAAAACTGGGGCCCTGGCTGGAAAAACAGCAGTGTGAAGTCACACAGGTAGCATCAGGACAAAGTAGGAGAGAGATATAGCTGCTGAATTCTGTGCTTTTTCTTTCCACTTTAGTAAGAAACAGAAGTTCCCACCCTTCCCCAGAGAATTTCCAGCCCCCGGACCCTCCCTAGGGTCTGCACACCCATCTCAGAGTTCCTCTGCTTAGATGTCCCTAGAGCCAGGCACATCCTCCAGCAATGCCTTTCCTTTCTCAGACCCCCTGCAATGACACTGATGGAATTTCTAGCACACTTGGCTCCATGACAGCAGAACCCTTGGGTGTCTTGTTCACATCAGTGTCTCCCAGCACCTAGAGGGTGCCAGGTGCATCGTAGGAGTGCCGCAGATCTTGGCCGAGTAGATGATGATGTATCAGCAACTCTGTGTCTAAGTTGCCTGGTTCCCACAGACTACACAAAGTTGCAGCATTGGGATATTAACTAAAATCTCTGGAGTACATAGAAAGTGCCAGCCGCCAAGCTGGAGGCTTTCCAAGCATGCTCTTATTTAATCTTCGCCACAACCTCCTAGACGTTTTATACTATCACGATCCCCATTTTACAGATGAAGAAACTGAGGCAAAAGACATAAAGTGACTTGCCCAGAGCCACCAGCTTGTGGGTTCTGAACCCAGGTCTGTCTTGAAAAAAGCCCAGATTTCTTTCCTCTGCCACACACCCCTACTGAAACGAATTAATAAACACAGTAAGATAAACAATCCACACAGTCCCTCCTTGAACAAGTCTATGCCCTCACAACCCTATGACGGCAATACTTATATACTGAGCCCTAGCTTCCTCCTATTATTGTCTGCAAAATTCTTTCCTGGGATCTCTTCTCCTGACCACCTCTACAAATAATAATAATGACAGTAATAATACTAATAATAACAAACACTTATTTAACATTTTGTACCAGTTGTAAGTGCTTTGTATATATTAATATCAACTTATTTAATCCTCACCGGAATTGCTCCAAGGGAGGCATTATTAGCCCCATTCACAGATGACAACATTGAAGCACAGAACAGTTAAATAACTTGCCCAAGACCACATAGCTATGAAGTGGCAGAGCTAGGATTCAAGTCCAGGGAGTCCAGCTCCAGAGTCTGTATTCTTTTTTTTTTTTTCAGTTACTCGAAAACTTTTCATTATGTTTTGAACAGCTAAGATATGCAAATTGATTTTTGAACTGCAAATTTTATGAAGTCTCAATATATTTCAAATATTCCTCTTTTTTAATTGCAGAATATCACAGGGGTACAAATGTTTTGGTTACGTAAATTGCTTTTGTACCATTTGAGTTGGTGTTCTTAACCACTATGTGATTCTTTGAATAACAACAACAAAACGACAGTCATGATAACCACCATTATTTGAGAACTATTATGTGCCAATCTCTGCTAAATGCCCTCTGCCTGCTACCTTCTTTAATCCTCATAACCACCCTTTCAGGCAATAGTATTA